CAGTAAGCTGAGATTGCACCACTGCCCTCCAGCCTGGGTAACAGAGCAAGACTCCATCTCAAAAAAAAAATGTAATAACTATTCCATTTCTTAAATTGCAGTATGTTTTAGAATAAATTTCCAAGTAATATATTTCTTTTTCTTTTGAAGACACTGACTTTCATGGGCTTTTCTTTTTTAATTAGACAGTTTGTTCCTCACAGTTAGGGCTGACGAAGAATGCTTGGTAGATAAGGGCCTGTGTGAGCCAAGTCATTCACAAAGAGCTGTTCTTGTGTGGGTCTCACGGGTATCGCGTTTCCTCCACAGACCCGGCCGCAGCGCCTACCGAGCCGTTCGACAACACTACCTACAAGAACCTCCAGCATCATGACTACACCACGTACACCTTCTTAGACCTCAACCTCGACCTCTCAAAATTCAGGATGCCTCAGCCCTCCTCAGGCCGGGAGTCACCTCGACACTGACAGCCCTCAGTGTGAAGATTAACCTTGCTCCGTCTTCGCTGCATCCTGCAGTGCAAAAATAAAATCCACTCGAGTCACAAAGCCCAGTGTGCATCATTGGTCTCACTTTTACACTATTATTTTTCTTCTAGACAGGGTCTCAAAAACGGACGGAGCCTCACTCAGTCACCCAGGCTGGAGTGCAGTGGCACGATCTCGGCTCCCTGCACCCGCCGCCTCTTGGTTTCAAGTGATCCTCTCACTTCAGCCTCCCGAGGAGCTGGGACCACAGGCACCTGCCACCACACCCAGCTCATGTTTATATTTTTAGTAGAGACAGGGTTTCACATGTTGGCCAGGCCGGTCTCCAACTCCTGACCTCAGGTGATCCACCCGCCTCGGCCTCCCAGAGTGCTGGGATTACGGGCGTGAGCCACTGTGCCCGGCCACTTACACTTTTTACAGTACGTGGTGAAAGAGCAACACTAATGCTGATTATTCAACATATATTTTGGCATATCTACTATGTGCAAGGAATTTTCTTAAACTATAAGGTTATGGATCACTGGGCAAATCCATATAATTAGAGAATTTTAAGTGCTTTAGAGCAGTGTGATTCTACTATGCTAAGCCTAGTCAATTTAGCCTTAAACTGATTATCAGCTGAGTATCAATAATGTAATAGTGACTTCTAGTCCTACAAGCCTGTTTTTTTTTTTTTTTTTAACATAAACTCAAGATTTTGTCTTCATAATAAAAGATGACACTTAGAACTGGATCACGTGGCCCTTTCTCTTGTCTCCTCCCAGTTGAAAATGCTTGCGTCTTTTAACAGCCAGCATTCTCGTAGATCTGCAGTTGGGCTCAACGCACTCAAGCCTTAGCAGTCTTCTTTTTAGCCTATCGGCATGAGAAGAGGCCTGGTTTTTGATAATTAGAAACAGGAGTTTTGGCTGGGTGTGGTGGTTCATACCTGCAGTCCCAGCACTTTGGGAGGCTGAGGCAGGTGGAGGATCACCTGAGGTCAGGAGTTCAAGACCAGCCTGGCCAACATGATGAAACCTATCTCTACTAAAAATACAAAAAGTAGCCGGTGTGGTGGTGGGCGACTAATTTCAGCTACTTAGGAGGCTGAGGCAGGAGAATCGCTTGAACCCAGGAGGCGGAGGTTGCAGTGACCAGAGATCGCCCCATTGCACCCTAGCCTGGGTGAGAAGAGTGAAACACCATCTAAAAAATAAATAAAAATAAGCTGGGTGTAGTGGCACACACCTGTAATCCCAGCACTTTGGGGGCCCAGGCAGGCCAATCACCTGAGGTTGGGAGTTTGAGACCAGCCTGACCAACATGGAGAAACCCCATCTCTACTAAAAATACAAAAAATTAGCCAGGCGTGGTGGCGCATGCCTGTAATCCCAGCTACTGGCGAGGCTGAGGTAGGGAACTGCTTGAACCCAGGAGGCAGAGGTTGCAGTGAGCTGAGATCATGCCATTGCCCTTCAGCCTGGGCAACAAGAGCGAAACCCTGTCTCAAAAAAAAATTTAAAAATAAATATAAGACTGAGCAGGGGACAAAAATAAAAAATAATTCTTCTTACCAAAAGAGGTTGAAAATGTCCCTTCTGTTGTCCCTGCCCACAATGTCCTAAGCCTAGCAGGTGTTGACCCAAAGAAAGAAGCGGGGGCAAAACGAACATTAGAGTTTATCTGGGCTGAGCCGTGGGCTGCAAGCCAGCAGCGCCGGCCCTGAATATCCCTGCTCTGATTAGCTGCAGTTACAGGTGGCATTCTGTTGTTTTGTAGTTTTCTTGAGAAGGGATCTCACTCTGTCACCTAGGCTGTAGTGCAGAGCCTTGATGTTAGCTCACGGCAACCCCGGCCTCCTGGGTTCAGGTGATCCTCTCACTTCAGCCTCCAGAGTAGCTAGGACTTCAGGCATGCACCACCATGCCTGGCTTTTAAAAAATTGTTTGTAGAGATAGGGTTTGACCACGTTACCCAGGCTGGTCTCGAACTCCTGGACTTAAGCAATCCATCTGCCTCAGACTCCAAAATGCTGGAATTACAGGTGTGATCCACTACTCCAGGCCTACAAGTGGGTTTAGTTTAGTTTTGCTTTTTTGAGCCAGCATCTCATCACCCAGGCTGGAGTGCAGTGGTGCAACCTCTGCTCACAGCAACCTCCATCTCTTGAGCTTACGTGATCCTCCCATGTTGCCCACGTGAAAGAAAAGTATCTTGAACCCCCAAATCACTAAGGAAAACTCAAGCTAGAAACTGCTTAAGGCAAACTTGCCTCCCATTCTATTTAAAGTCACCCCTCTGCTCAGTGAGATAATGCATGTCTGATGGACTCCTTTGGAGAGGCTAACCAGAAACAAAAAATGCAACCTTTTGTACCTCATCGACCCGTTTCCAGTCTTCCTGCCTTTGCTTCAAGATGTCCCGCCTTTCCAGACAAACTCATGGACTTCTTACATATATTACTTGGTGTCTCATGTCTCTCTAAAATGTGTAAAACCAAGCTGTGCCAGACCACCTTGGACACCTGTCGCCAGGACTTCCTGAGGCAGTGTCACAGGCGTGTGCCCAACCTTGGCAAGATAAAACTTCTGAATTAACAGAGACCCGACTCAGATTTTCCAGGTTCACACGCAGAATAGTCTCAAACTCCTGGCCTCAAGCAATCCAACTGCCTTGGCTTCCCAAAGTGCTAGGATTACAGATGTGAGCCATATGCCTGGACTCAAGTGGGTTTTGTTTTGTTTTTAATTTTGAGACAGAGTCTCACTCTATTGCCCAGACTGGAGTGCATGGCGTAATCTTGGCTCAGTGCAACCTGTGTCTCCTGGGTTCAAGTGATTCTCCTGCCTCAGCCTCCCAAGTAGCTGAGACTACATGTGCATGCCACCACACCTGGGTAATTTTTTATTTTTATTTTTGATAGAGATGAAGTTTCGCCATGTTGGCCGGGCTGGTCTCAAACTCCTGACCTCTAATGATCCAGTCCACCTTGGCCTCCCAAAGTGCTAAGATTCTGGGCATGAGCCACCGCGCCTGGCCACAAGTGGGTTTGTTTTTTATTTGCTTGGTTTTGTTTTTGAGACAGAGTCTCGCTCTTGTCACCCAGGCTGGAGTGCAATGGCGCGATCTCAGCTCACTGCAACCTTCACCTCCTGGGTCCAAGAGATTCTCCTGCATCAGCCTCCTGAGTAGCTGGGATTACAAGCACATGCCACCACGCCCAGGTAATTTTTGTATTTTTAGTAGAGACAGGGTTTCACCATGTCGGTCAGGCTGGTCTCAAACTCCTGATCTTGTGATCCACCCACCTCAGCCTCTCAAAGTGCTGGGATTACAGGCATGAGCCACCGCACTGGGCTTCACAAGTGAGTTTTTTAAAGGAAAAAAGAGGCAGTTGCTAAATTGCTCGCCAACAATTTACATTAAAATACATAAGCAATTGATTGGCTTGTTCTTTGTATCACAAATTCCACAAATTTAGAAACATGATATTAATGCGTGAAGCAGGCATTCAGGGTCAAAATGACTTTAAACAATTGCACTGGGCATGAGTGCGGGACGAGACTCAAGTTCCCAGTCCAGGTCTCTGTGTAAGCTTTGCAGAGCACAGAACACTCTGGGCTAGCTTTTCTCCTGAGGAATATAGTGGGCAGGACAAACCTGGGGGCATAGACGAGCCGGGGATGACTGTGCCTAGTCAAGTGACTGACACAGGCTGTGTGAGCCCAGAACATCCAAGACACCTCTCAGCCAATTTGGAAAGTTTACTTTGCCAAGGTTAAGGACGTGCCCGTGACAACCTCAGGAGGTCCTGAGGACTTGTGCCCAATGTGGTTGGGTACAGCTTGCTTTCATACATTTTAGGGAGACATGAGACATAAATTAATATGTGTGAGGCTGGACACGGTGGCTCACACCTGTAATCACAGCACTTTGGGAGGCTGAGTCGGGCGGATCACGTGAGGTCAGGAGTTTGAATCCAGCCTGGGCAACATGGTTTATTCCCGTCTCTACTAAAAATACAAAAATTAGCCGGCATGGTGGTGCATGCCTGTAGTCCCAGCTACTCAGGGGGCTGAGGCAGAAGAATCTCTTGAACCTGGGAGGCAGAGGTTGCAGTGAGGGGAGATCGTGTCATTGCACTCCAGCCTGGGTGACAGAGTAAGACTTCCTCTCAAAAAAAAAAAAAAAAAAATCAGTATATGTGAGCTGTTGTCCAGGCACGGAGGCTCACACCTGTAATCCCAACACTCTGGGAGGTCGAGGTGGGTGGATCACCTGAGCCCAGGAGTTTGAGAGCAGCCTGGGCAACATGGTAAAGTCCTGTCTCTCCCAAAAATACAAAAAATAGGCAAGCACAGTAGCACACACCTGTGGTCCTGTCAGAGGCAAGTGAAGCAGAGCAACTCCATCTTGAATAGAGGCTGGGTAAAATGAGGCTGAGACCTACTGGGCTGTGTTCCCAGATGGCTAAGACATTCGGAGTCACAGGATGAGATAGAAGGTCGGCACAAGACACGGGTCAGAGAGACCTTGCTGATAAAACAGCTTGCAGTGAAGGAGCCGGCTAAAACCCTCCAAAACCAAGATGGCCACGAGAGTGACCTGTGGTCATCCACACTGCTACTCCCACCAGTGCCACGACCATTTACGAATGCCATGGCAACGTCAGGAAGTTACCCTGTATGGCCTAAAAAGGGGAGGCATGAATAATCCACCCCTCGTTTAGCATGTCATCAAGGAATAACCAGAAAACTGGGCAACCAGCAGCCCGGCGCGGTGGCTCACACCTGGAATCCCAACATTTTGGGAGGCTGAGGCGGGCAGATCATGAGGTCAAGAGATTGAGACCATCCTGGCCAACATAATGAAACCCCATCTCTACTAAAAATACAAAAATTAGCTGGGCATAGTGGCGTGTGCCTGTAATCCCAGCTACTTAGGAGGCTGAGGCAGGAGAATCGCTTGAACTGGGGAGGCAGAGGTTGCAGTGAGCCAAGATTGCGCCACTGTACTCCAGCCTGGCGACAGAGCAAGACTCAGTCTCAAAAAAAAGGCACCCAGTAGCCGAGGGCTGGTCTGTCTATGGAGTAACTGTTCTCTTATTCCTCTACTTTCCTAATAAACTTGCTTTCACTTCACGGATTTGCTCTGAATTCTTTCTTGCGCGAGATATGAGAACCCTCTCGGATCAGGGCCTCTTTCTCGTAACGGTCCTAGCTTCTTGGGAGGCTAAGGTGGGAGGATCCCTTGAGTGCAGGAGGTCGAGGCTGCAGTCAGCCGAGACAGTGCCACTGCACTCCAGCCTGGGTGACAGAAGGAAACCCTGTCTCCAAAAAAAAAGTAAAAAAAGAGTACGCGTGAGATATACATTGGTTTGGTCTGGAAAGGCGGAACAACTCGAACTGGGGCGTTCCAGGTTAGAAGCAGACAAGAGATAAGGCTGGCACGATGGCTCACCCCTGTAATCCCAGCACTTTGGGAGGCTGAGGTGGGCGAATCACCTGAGGTCAGGAGTTCAAGGCCAGCCTGGCCAACATGGTGAAACCCTATCTCTATTAAAAATTAAAAAATTAGCCTTCTGGTGGCATGTGCTGTAGTCCCAGCTACTCGGGAGGCTGAGGCAGGGGAATCACTTGAACCCAGGAGGTGGAGCTTGCAGTGAGCCAAGATCATGCCATTGCACTCCAGCCTGGGTGACAGCAACAGAGTGATACTCTGTCACACACACAAAAAAGAGACAAAAAGCTACATTCCTTTGAGTTCTTGATCAGCCTTCCATAGAATACACAACTGAGTCTGGCTCAGTGAATCTGCATTTTTATGTACACAATAGGGCAGAAGAAGTCATTAGATGTGGATTTGTCTTGGGATCCTCAAAGGGATGACTGAGTTGTCTGTCCTTTGTCCACAAGGAATTTCCTCGTGAGCAAATTGTGAGGGAGATCTGCACCTTCTCGTCTTTGTAGCTATTTTATTTAGGAGTAGAATGGAAGGCTGGTTTTCCTGATCGTTCCCAGTTTGATGTTTCCCTTGGCTTAGTGATTTGGGGATCCGGAGATTTATTTTCCTTTCATAGGTGTCTTGAAACTGCCTTTGAAAAATGAGGACAGTAAGAGGAATCTGACAGAATAGACTCCGCCTTGCTTCTGTTCTCTAGCAGTCTTGCTCATTCCTGGGCGTAGACCACGCCAACCATGGGGGAACTTCATTTATAATTCAACCTGAAAGCAAAGCTTCTAATAGTCCCTGCCTGAAACTAACACCCCTTTTGCTCAGGGACCAAAAACTGCCTTTGAAAGACTGAGGGAAAGCCACAAAAATAATATTATTGGACAGGCCTGAATAAATGCAGGTAAAATTTCTTTCTTTTGCTTTTTTTTTTTTTTGAGACGGGGTTTCACTCTGTTGCTTAGCTGGAGTGCAGGGGTGTGATCTTGGCTCACTTGCAACCTCCATCACCTGGGCTTGGGTGATCCTCCTGCCTCAGCCTCCCGAGTAGCTGGGACTACAGGCACATGCCACCATGCGTGGCTAATTTTTTGTATTTTTAGTAGACATGGGATTTCACCATGTTAGCCAGGTGTTCTCAATCTCCTGACCTCATGATCCGCCCCCCTCAGCCTCCCACAGTTCTGGGATTACAGGCATGAGCACCGTGCCCGGCCAATTTTTCGTTTTTTTTGTAGAGATGTGGGTTTCACTGTGTAGCCCAGGCTGGTCTGGAACGCGTGGGGTGAGACGAGCCTCCAACTTTGGCCTCCCAAAATGTTGGGATCACAGATATGCGCCACTGCGCTGGGCCTATAATCCTCTACTGCTCAGGGGCTATGTAGCCAGAAGCGGCAGGATTTGTGACTTCCTCACTCATTCCAATAGATAACATCACTATTGTAGAACCTAAGCCTTAAACACTGAAGAGACCCCCACAAACAGGCTTTGTGTGAGCAACATGGCTGTTGATTCACCAGGGTGCAGGCGGCTGAGTCTGAAGAGAGAATCAGTGGACGGTGGGGACAGGAGCTGATTTTATAGGTTTGGGGTAGGTCGTGGAGAAAGGTTGGAAGAACTGATGGACAAGGAGGATTTTGAGTTACTGGTGGAAGTAGGAGGGAAGGACAGAAGGGAGAGAAGGAAAATTTGGGGCCAGACGAGGTGGCCCACGCCTGTAATCCCAGCACTTTGGGAGGCTGAGGTGGGAGGATCACCTGAGGTCAGGAGTTCAAGACCAGCCTGGCCAACATGGTGAACCCACGTCTCTACTAAAAATACAAAAATTAGCTGGGCATGGTGGTGCAGGCCTATAGTCCCAGCTACACGGGAGGCTGAGGCACGAGAATCGCTTGAACCTGGGAGGCGGAGGTTGCAGTGAGCCAAGATCACACCACTGCACTCTCCAGCCTGGGTGACAGAGCAAGACTTCGTCTCAATTAAAAAACAAACAAACAACAAACAAAAAAAAAAACAAACATTTAGCCGGGCATGGTGGTTCATGCCTGTAATCCCAGCACTTTGGGAGGCTGAGGCAGGTGATTACCTGAGGTCGGGAATTTGAGACCAGCCTGACCAACATGGAGAAGTCCTGTCTCTACTAAAAATACAAAATTAGCCAGGCTTGGTGGCACCTGCCTGTAATCCCAGCTACTCGGGAGGCTGAGGCAGGAGAATCACTTGAACCCAGGAGGTGGAGGTTGCAGTGAGCTGAGATTGCACCACTGCACTCCAGCCTGGGCAACAAGAGCAAAACTCCCTCTGAAAAAAAAAAAAAAAGAAAAGAAAAGAAAATTTGGTATGGGTTGTATCGAGAGCAGGGATTAGGGACGGATTGGAGTGTAAAAAAACAATGTCTGGCCGCCAGGCACCTCAGACCACTGGCCCATTTGTTGACAAATTATTTAGGTCTCGAAGAATAGGAGAATTCAAAGTGCCATTTTCTGGCCATTTGGAACCATTGTATAATTTGTATTGAGGCCAGGCTGTGTTACAGAAAAAAATTGAGACATTTGGGTTTCAGATTGGGTGACAGTTGAAGAAGTTTTAGGTTTTTTTTTGGAGACAGAGCCTTGTTCTGTCACTTAGGCTAGAGTGCAGTGGCGCAATCTCGACTCACTGCAACCTCCGACTCCCAGGTTCAAGCGATTCTCCTGCCTCAGTCTCCTGAGTAGCTGGGATTACAGGTGCCTGCCACCACACCCAGCTAATTTTTGTATATTTAGTAGAGATGGGGTTTCACTATGTTAGCCAAGCTGGTCTTGAACTCCTGACCTTGTGATCTGCCCGCCTTGGCCTCCCAAAGTGCTGGGGTTACAGGCATGAACCACTGTGCTTGGCCTCTGAGGTTTTGGTTTTTTTAGGATGCAGACTAGAGGCGAAGACAGAGGAATAGAGGGTGGAATATTGCCCCTGGTGAAGGAGGTAAGTTATAAAGAGAGGAGTAGAGACGAGAAGGAGTGAGCAGCTACCAGGGTTCTCAGTAGGCGTCCCTGGCTGAGCCCTGGGCTGTGACATGGGTGAGTGATCAAGGCAGGCGTCCCCGGGATTGGCCAGATACCAAGGGAAGACTGCCTTCTTGAGTCTGTGACCAACGTTGGCGTTTTTGACCGAGAGGGAGAGACTTGTCTCCTCTGTCTCTACATGGATAAAGAGTGTCTCCTTGTCTCCTTTTCTCTAAATGAAAAGGGAGAGAGAGAGAGGGGGAGACTTGCCTCCTTTTCTCCTCTATTTAGAAGGAGGAGGATTTAAAGGAAGAGAGAGAGGGAGAGACTGCTTACCTGATCTGAAGGTGGCAAGAGGGTTGTGGGGCTGGTCTAATGCGCTGAGGTCACAGGTGGGTCTCTTCACGGAGGGAGAGCAGGCATGGGGGTCGGCCTCACAAAGAAGTACCCCCGTCCCGGGTTTCAGCACCAAATGTTAAACACGCGCTCTGAAAGAAGAGACCCCCACAAACAGACTTTGTGTGAGCAACATGGCTGTTGATTCACCCAGGTACAGGCGGGCTGAGTCTGAAAAAGAGTCAGCGGAGGGCGGTGGGATAGGAGTTTACTGAGCGCCAGCTCGGTCCGGAGGCCCCACCCAGGCGGGCTGACACGCAGATAGGACAACAGAGTGGGTCCATCCAGGGGACCACCAGCTGATGGTCCGAGAAGCCGACAGTGTTCCAGGCTCAAGGCCTGAGCAGGTGCTCGTCCACACATGTATTTGCTCTTAGACAGGTGATTCCTATTCGCACACAGGTGCTCTACATTTACTCATAACTCAAGAATCTACCAAGTAGGCAGCTGTTACCTGCCTACCACTAATTACAAGCTCAAAGGTATGCTCCACAGAGCAGCCACAGGGGCAGGGTCCACTTCACATTTCTCAACAGCTGGATTTATAGGTTTGGGGTCGGCAGTGGAAAGTTACAGAAGTTACAGTTCAGGGTGGTTTTTGCAAGCTGGGAGTGGGTCGCAGCGTCTGGAGTAAGGAGGTTGACCAAGGTCGTTACGAGGTCCGGTTGCCTTATCAGTTGAGGCGGGAATAAGGATCATTAGAAGAATGTCTCAAAGGTAATCAGGCCCCACAGGGGTTGATCATTTCTTCTCCTTTTGTGGTTTTCCAGTTACTTAAGACTTTCTAGTTCCAGAAACTCATCTGGAGTGTTCGTGCAGGTCGCAGAGGTACCACGGCTTGTCCATGGTGCTGTCAGTCAGCCTAAAAGACCTGATGCTAAGACGGGTCTTTTTTTTCTTTTTGAGACCGAGTTTCACTTTTGTCGCCCAGGCTGGAGTGCAATGGCATGATTTCAGCTCACTGCAACCTCCGCCTCCCAGGTTCAAGCAATTCTCCTGCCTCAGCCTCCCGAATAGCTGGGATTACAGGCGCCAGTCACCATGCCCAACTAATTTTTGTATTTTTAGTAGAGACAGGATTTCACCATGTCGGCTGGTCTCAAACTCCTGATCTCTGGTCATTCACCCGCCTCGGCCTCCCAAAGTGTTGGGATTACAGGTGTGAGCCTCTGTTCCCGGCCAAGATTAGTCTTTTGGGATTGTTTTTCAGACTTTCTTGAGTGAACTCCAAATATCTGGGACTGGTCTCAGTCAATTTAGAGAGTTTATTCTGCCGGAGTGATAGAACCTCAGGTGCTCCTGGCAACATGCTCACAATGGTTGAAGCACAGTTGGGTTTGATGCATTTTAGGGAGACATGACATCACTCAATATGTGTAAGATGTACATTGGTTGGGTCTGGAAAGGCGGGACTACTTGAAGCACAGAGCGGGCTCCCGGGTCACAGGCAGATAGAAGGCAAATGGTTGTGTTCTGCTGAGTTTCTGACCAGCCTCTACAAAGGAGGCAATCAAATATGCATTTATCTCAGTGAGCAAAGGAATTACTTTGAATAGAATGGGAGGCAGGTTTGCCCTAAGCAATTCCCAGCTTGACTTTTCCCTTTGTGATTTGGGGGTCCCTAGATTTCTTTTGCTTTCACACTGGCAACTGAGTGACCCTACTGGGGCCCATGACTCTTGACCCAGCCGATCCGTGGTCCCACCCAGAGGCAGACTCGGCACCCGAGGACTGTTTTCCATACCTGTAATATTTCCTTTTCCTTTTTCTCTTTTGAGACAGGGTCTGGCTCTATTCCCCAGGCTGGAGCGCAGTAACTGTCACGGTTCACTGCAGCCTCCAACTCTGGGATTCGAGCGATCCTCCCATCTCAGCCTCCCAAGTAGCTAGAACTACAGGGGTATGCCATCACACCTGGCTCATTGGTTTTTATTGTTGCTGTTTTGTTTTTTGTTTTTTTGAGATGGAGTCTTGTTCTGTCACCCAGGCTGGAGTGCGCTGGTGTGATCTCAGCTCACTGCAACCTCTGCCTCCCAGGTTCAAGCAATTCTGGTGCCTCAGCCCCCCAGTAGCTGGGATTACAGGCATACGCCACCACACCCAGCTAATTTTTGGTGTCTTGTTGTTTTGAGATGGTCTTATTCTGTTGTTGCCCAGGTTGGAATGAAATGGCATGATCTCAGCTCACTGCAACATCTGCCTCCTAGATTCAAGTGATTCTCCTGCCTCAGCCTCCCAAATAGCTGGGATTACAGGTGCGCACCACCACATCTGGCTAATTTTTGTATTTTTATTCTATTTTTTTTTCTTTTTGAGATGGAGTCTTGCTCTGTTGCTCAGGTTTGAGTGCAATGGTGTGATCTCTGCTCACCACAACCTCTGCCTCCTGGATTCAAGCGATTCTCCTGCCTCAGCCTCCAGAGTAGCTGGAATTACAGGCGCACACCACCACGCCTGGCTAAGTTTCTGTATTTTTAGTAGAGATGGGGTTTCACCATGTTGGCCAGGCTGGTCTCAATCTCCTGACCTCACGATCCTCCTGCCTCAGCCTCCCAAAGTGCTGGGATTACAGGTGTAAGCCACCACGCCCAGCCAATTTTTGTATTTTTAGTAGAAACAGGGTTTCACAATGTTGGCTAGGCTGGTCTCAAACTCCTGACCTCATGATCCGCCCACCTCAGCCTCCCAAAGTGCTGGAATTACAGGTGTGAGCCACCATGCCTGGCCAAATTTTCATATTTTTGGTAAAGATGGGGTTTCACCATGTTGGCCAGGCTGGTCTTGAACTCTTAGCCTCACATCATCCACTGGCTTCAGCCTTCCAAAAAGCTGGGATTACAGGCATGAGCCACTGTGCCAGGCCCTGGCTAATGCTTTTTCCCGCCCCCTAATTTTTAAAACTTTTTTGTAGACAAAGGTTTCACTGTGTTGCCTAGGTTGGTCTTGAACTCCTGGCCTCAAATGATCCTCCCACCTCAACCTCCCAAAGAGCTGGGGTTACAGGAGTCAGCCATAGTGCCCAGGTGATACCTTTATCATTTCCTCTCCAACCAATCAGCAACACCCATTCCCTAGGTCCATGCCCACCAGACTGTGCATAGAAACCCTAGCCTGCAAGCCTTTGGGCGAGACTGATTTGAGTAAAAGTCCATCTCCCACGTGGCTGGCCTCATGTTAACTAAGCTCTTTCTTTACTGCAATACTGCAGCCTCAGTGATCTGATTTTACCTAGCAGCAGGCAAGAAGAACCCGTCAGGGAATCATAGGGAGAAAGTCAACACAGGGAGAAAGTGGAGGAAGCTTCTTTGCATTTCTGAGTCAGTCAAGGCCTGACCGCAGATCCGCATGCCAGGTTCCTTCTGGAGGCTCCCCAGGGCCACAGAGTAATGTCCTGCGCCAGTGGGTTGTCTGTTCCCTTGATGCCAGGTCAATTGAAGCTGTAGGACCCCTCTCTCAGGGATGCGCCCACCTGCTCCACATAGGCACCCACTAGTCTTCTTTTGTTTTTTTCTGAAATGAGATCTTACCATGTGGTCCAGGCCAGATTGCAGTGGCATGATCACAGCTCACTATGTTCTCAAACTCCTGACCTCAAGTGATCCTCCTGCCTGTGAAAGGAAAATAAGTCTTGTCCCACCCCTACCCCAAATCACTAAGCTACAGGGAAATGTCCAGCTGGGAACTGCTTAGCGCCAACCTGCCTCCCGTTCTATTCAAAGTCACCCTCTGCTCACTGACACAGATGCATAGCCAATGGCCTCCTTTGGAAAGGCTAACCAGAAATTCAAAAGAATGCAACTGGCTGAGCGTGGTGGCTCATGCCTGTAATCCCAGCACTTTGGGAGGCCAAGGTGGGCGGATCACCTGAGGTCGGGACTTTGGGACCAGCCTGGCCAATGTGGTGAAACCTGTCTCTACTAAAAATACAAAAATTAGCTGGATGTTGTGGCATGCTCCTGTAATCCCAGCTACTCGGGAGGCTGAGGCAGGAGAATCACTTGAACTCGGGAGGCAGAGGCTGTAGTGAGCCAAGATCCTGCCATTGCACTCCAGCCTGGGTGACAGAGCAAGAGCATGTCTCAAAAAAAAAAAAAATTAAAAAAAAAAAAAGCCTGGCCATGGTGGCTCACGCCTGTAATCCAAGCACTTTGGGAAGCTGAGGTGGGCAGATCACAAGGTTGAGAGTTCAAGACCAGCCTGACCAACACGTTGAAATCCTGCCTCTACTAAAAATACAAAAATTAGCTGGATGTTGTGGCATGCTCCTGTAATCCCAGCTACTCGGGTGGCTGAGGCAGGAGAATCACTTGAACCCGAGAGGTGGAGGTTCTGATGAGCCAAGATGGTGCCATTGCACTCCAGCCTCGGCAACAAGAGCGAAACTCCAAGAAAAAATAATAATAAATAAATAAAATATAAAATAAAAAAAAAGAATGCAACCCTTCCCCTCTCACCTGTCTGTGACCTGCAAGCGCCCTCCCGCTTCCAGTCATCCTGCCTTTGCTTCAAGTTGTCCTGCCTTCCAGACTGAACCAACGTGCTTCTTACGTGTATTGCTTGGTGTCTCATGTCTCCCTAAAATGTGTAAAACTAAGCTGTGCCCGACCACCTTGGGCGCATGTCATCAGGACGTCCTGAAGCTGTGTCACGGCTGCGTCCTCAACCGCGGCAAAATAAACTTTCTAAATGAACTGAGACCTGCCTCGAATCTTTGGGGTTCACATGCCTTAGCCTCCCAAGTAACTGGGACTGTCAGCACATGCCACCATGCCTGACTAATTTTGTTGTTGCTACAGAGTCTCTCTCTATTGCCAAGGCGGGGGTCCAACTGCTGAGCTCAAGCGATCTTCCCGCCTCTGCCTCCCGAAGTGTGGGATTACAGGCGCAAGCCGCCATGCCCTGTCTTCTTCTCTCTCCAGCATTGGCTTTGAAATCTTATGAAATCCAAACGGATAGAATCCTAGGCTAACGAGTATATCTTGATGGTTTTAGTTCATCAGAACCCTTGCCAAGACTTTTATTTTTAAATGTACAGCTTAAAATATATCATCCTTGGCTCTGTGCCAACCAGAGGAAGCCAAGGTAAAACACCATCTTCTCCAGGACATATGTAAAGTCGCTGCTGTCGGAATAAGGGAGGAGTTCTGGGGAGGAAGTTCTAGTGTGACAAGCAAAGTTTCACGGCACCAACAGCTATTTTCCAGGAAAGAATTTTCAAACTATGGAGTTTATGAAAAAAAAAGGAAAGGGAAAAAAAAGACATTTCTGCAAACTGACCTAAGCCCTGGGAATCTGAATCAGAGCCCTTTCTCTGGGGAAAGGGAAGGGGGAGCCCGGGGCCTCTGCAGGATGCGGGTGCAGGGTTCACCCCCTGCTCACTCCAAGGCTTCTCTGCATTGGCCTGCGTGTGCGTGGAACCCAAAGCAGGCCCTTTTCCTCCCTCCCTCCTTCCTTTCCTTCCTTCCTTTCTTTCGAGACAGAGTGTGGCTCTGTCACCCAGGCTGGAGTGCAGTGGCACAATCTTGCCTCACTGAAACCTCTGCATCCCAGGTTCAAGTGATTCTCCTGCCTCAGCCTCCGGAGTCGTTGGGATTACAGGCACCCGCCACCACGCCCAGCTAATATTTG